CAGGGGAGCGGAGACTTTGCTTCATACTGGGAAGATGTCCGGTTTATTGCCATTTCTGGGAAACGCAAATGTGGCAAAGACTACTTTGCTACTATTCTCCGCAACGAGGTTCAGGAAAGATTGGGCCAAACTGCCTCCATCATTCACATTTCAGGGCCAATCAAGCGTGCCTTTGCCGAGGAGCATCATTTGGAACTGCAGGAACTGATGTCTTCGTCTGCTTACAAGGAGGATTTTCGTCGTCAAATGGTACGATGGGGAGAGGCGCTTAGGAGAAAGGACCCCACTGTTTTCTGTCGCAAATCTCTCGAGTATCTTATTAAAGATTCCTTTTTCAAACCCGCCTTCGTAATAGTGGCAGATTGTCGCCGACCCACCGATCTGGAATATTTTTCCAGTCTCAACAGAGACTTTCCTTTGTTGCACCTGAGAGTTTCTGCATCTCCTGTAACTCGGAGGGCGCGTGGCTGGATTTACACTTCAGGAATCGATGACGCCGAGACAGAGTGTGCACTCGATAAGGCTCCCTTCGACGTTCTTGTTGTAAATGAGTCGCAGCGAACCCTGAACCTCTCCATGGCTCTTGTTCGAAGGGCTCTAAGTGACAACCCCCTCCGAAAAATGATGACAATCTGATCGCTTACCCCTTCACTGTACTCACCGTCTGTATATTGTCATTCGATAATCTTTTTAAACGACCAGAGCATTGCTTTATTTGTTTTCTTGGTTTAGTTTTGGTTTCTTTAGGTGCTTCTTTTGCTTGAAGAACGAGTTTGTTGGTAGCAGTTAGAGGCTTGAGGTGTTCGAACGAATGAAGTAAAAGTTGTGTTGGATTCCAACAGTATTTCCGCCACTCCGTGCTCACTTTGGCAATGAACCTAAGTGCTTCTGGTTTGCTAAGGTTAAAAGGTGTCGAGACAATCAGTGCACCACTTAAATATGCTAGAGTCGGTACACATTCTGGTAAGTCCTTTACCTTCCTAGTCTAAATGTCACTGGAGAGTTGTTTGTTTATCCCGAAAACAAGGCTAGAGAAAATTTGGGGAGTGGATGTCATCTTAGGCCTTCGATTATTGATAATCGTCACTTTTCCCAATCAAACATACTACTGCTTCTACTTTAGAAATTTAAAGTAACGTTCTTTAAGAGTGGAGCAGGAATAGATTCGTATCTTATTGTGAACAGGGTAGCACGCAGAGGCCTTTCCAAACTCAAGAGAAGACATGATGCTCAGGCGTTCTACTGCGCAGGCGATGTACAAAAGGACTGGAGGTAATAGAATGTCACTCAAACTAGGTCACTCTAAGAAAGCGGAAATGTATATCCTCAAAATGGCTCGATTATGAAGACTGAAACCTAGGTGGCCAATGAATCCATGTTAGAGTCACACTAAATTTGTCACTGAAATTTCCAACTAATAACTTGTGTATTAACGGCACAACCTTTTCCAAGCTTGGGTTGGGTCATTTGAGTAAAAGATAACACCTCTCGAGCAGAAGGTGCACAAAACACTGAAACTTTAAAGGCTTTACTTTACATTTTCCCGACTTCGTGTGCAGTATCAGGTGATGGTCGTTGCTTATGCAAGTGGGTCATCAGCTTTTGTTTCCACTTATGATTTTCACGAGACCTTGTCGTCACGGCTCTCAAAATCAGCCAAAATTTGACACGTGACTTTTCAACATTTAAAATAATCGTAGACATGCCATCGGAGGTCAATCAAAACCACCAGATAGAACTTGGTGGATCTTGTGTAGCACCTTGAGACTACTCTGACGACTGATAAAGGCAAACTACATAGAATGACTCGGAGAGGAAACGCAAGTGTTCTGCCTGTTTGTTTCCGCGTAGTAAAACAAAGGTTATAATGAGTAGTTAAAAGGTTGTCGTGTAGTTTAATAAAGTGAACAGAGTCAGAAAGAAAATTATATGATTCTAGGCAAATGCTCCTTGCAAGTCTTCAAATCATTTTATTAAGTCGTTAATCATTATTCTTGCTGCCAGAAGGCTGTGGCTTACTAACGCAAAACATGGGTCACACTTATTTCTCACACAATCCGCAAGTTCGCTAAGTATCAGGCGCAAGCCATGGACGGAGACAGTTGCTTTACCGAAATGCTTGGCTTGGTTGAGCATTTTTTCCTTCCGTAAGGGTACTATGAGTAGTTGAAAAGAAGGTGATGAATACGTAATGTATTGCATGCATGCGGTTTCAAATAAAGAAGGTTGTGCTAGGCGTTGGAACAACTAAGCATGCAGTCTGGCCACCGCTAGACAGGTATGGATCTTTAAGAAAAGTCAGCATCACTTTGTTGGCGCTGTTATAAACGGTCCTCTCTAACGCCGAGTAACATGCAGAAAAGTAAAGTCGTTTCTGTTCCCAAGCCATTGTTACCCTCTGCTCCGTTACTGCAAACGCTCGCATGGGCGCTAAGGGAAAAGTCTAGTCATCTGCTACAGTTTTACCTCCCAATTCGACATTACTATTAGCACATCTACCACACATACGTGACTGCAAATGCAAATTTTTAGCGATTCAGCAGACTTGTATGTCGAATAGAGTTTATTTGATATGTCCTCGGTAAGAGAGTTATAACCCCTTATCGACAAAATTTGCATCAAAATAATTAAACAAAGTTTTCTGAGACTA